TTGCCTGGTGAAGTCCATACGCCGACAAAATCAACATTCTTGCTTACAAAAAGCTTCAATTTCTCCAAATCACCCGTCCAGCAAAGCCGTAGTTCTTGCATTTCGATTACAATACTTGCTACAGAGTATTCCAGCAAATAACTCAAAAAAATTTAAGAATAATGTGGAGCGATATATTACACGTCTAACCACGACACGGCTCTCTTTACAGACATCCTTGACCAGATTTTTACAAATTTACAAGATTTTTACATGGCTCCAAATAGAAGATGTCCATTTGGATTATCCGACCATCTCACAATCACTATTTTCCCAGCTATACGACAAAAATCAGTGTCCGAAAAGAAAATAATAAAAGTGCGCGATAAAAGAAGAAGTAATATCTCCAGTCTTGGTCGGTTTTTCCAGAACGTTCCATTTGAAGATATTTTATCATCAGTTCAATCTCCTTGTGAAAAACTCTCAATTTTTAAGGTTTGTTACCCGTTGCAAATGCCTTCTGTCTTTTATTGATAAGTCGTTTCAAATTATTTGTCATCCACGGACGGTCAGTAGCATGCACTTTGATAGATCTTTCTGGCATAATAGTGTTCAGTCCGTAGTTTACTACGGACTGAACACTATTATGCCAGAAAGATCTATCAAAGTGCATGCTACTGACCGTCCGTGGATGACAAATAATTTGAAACGACTTATCAATAAAAGACAGAAGGCATTTGCAACGGGTAACAAACCTTTGTTCTCACTCCTACGAAATAAAGTCAATCGTGAAAGAAAACGATGCTGTGAAATATATTATAAAACTAAAGTGCAGGATCTCAAAAATACTAAACCTATAGTCAATGGTGGCGCGAAATAAAACAACTCTGTGGCTGCAAAACAACAAACCGTAAAGATCTACGTTCTATCCTAAGGATAAACAATGATTGTTCCGACCAAGTACTAGCTAATATGATAAACGAAGCCTTTATTAGTGTCACAAAAGATTATACCCCTTTAACAGACGATGCCCATGTAACCCAAGAGGAAGATGACCCTATACAAGTTAGCCTAACATCTGTTCAGCAGAAGTTACGCAAAATAAGTATGTCCAGAGCAAATGGTCCAGACAAACTTCCAAATTGGGTATTAAAAATATATGCTGATATCTTAGCTCCAGCCATTACAGACATTTTAAATTGTTCATTTCGTAACTGTGCGGTTCCACAGGCATGGAAGATGGCTGACGTATCACCCATCCCTAAAACATCGAGCATAACTGATTTCAACAAAGACCTGAGACCAATATCGTTGACGTCTACACTATCGAAAATCGCGGAAGGGTTTGTAATCGACCTCGAACTGAAACCTAAGATTTTACAGAAAATAGATCCCCACCAATTTGGCTTCATTCCTAAATCATGTACAACTCATGCAATTATCTCCATGCTACATAACTGGTTGGCCGCAACAGATGGAACAGGTTCTACAGTGAAAGTTGCCTTATTAGACTTTAGGAAAGCTTTAGACTTGGTGGACCATACCCTTCTTATATCAAAACTTATTAACTACGGAATTAAACCATCAGTCACTAATTGGATTACAGACTTCTTATATAAGCGTACCCCAAGAATTAAGTTGAATTATAAGTGCCATTCCAATATACTGCAAGTCCAGGCAGGGGTACCTCAAGGGACCAAATTAGCACCATGGTTGTTCCTCATTATGATAAACGATTTGAACGTTTCAGAGAATTCAACAAACAAGATGTGGAAATTCGCTGATGATTCCACAATATTTCGGAGGTCATCCCTAGAACTGAAAATAGCAATTTACAAGATATAGTTGATCAAGTGGCTAATTGGTCAAATAATAACAAATTTCAATTAAATTCTGGAAAATGCAAAGAACTTAGAATAAATTTTACTAAAGACCCTTGCAGAGACGAACCAGTCAAAGTAAATGATAAACATTTCGAAGTGGTAACATCTGCAAAAATCTTAGGAATGACTATTACCGATAATTTAAAATGGAATGTCCATGTGGCAAATATTTTATCAAAAGCTTCCAAACGACTTTATCTCCTGAAACAGTTAAAACGTGCGAATGTCGATACTAATTCATTGATCAAATTCTACTGTGCCTGTATCAGATCTGTCCTTGAATACGCTTGTCAGGCCTTTCACTCAGGCCTTCCTAATTATCTTTCAAAAGAAATTGAACAAATTCAGAAAAGAGCCCTAAGAATTATTTACCCTTACATGGATTATAGTGAAGCGTTGGAAATGGGAAACCTAGAAAGACTAAACGACCGTAGAGAGAAACTATGTGAAAAACTGTTTCGTGAAATTGAAGAAAATGAAGATCACAAACTTCACGGACTTTTACCAGAAATGAATAAGGCTGGTTATAACTTCAGAACAATTAAAAAATATAATCTCCCAACGATTAGGACAAATAGATTTAAGGACTCTTTTATCCTTGAGTACGCATCACGAAAGGAAATAAAAACAAACTTATTTTAAATATTTGAATGTATATATATATATATATATATATATATATATATATATATATATATATATATATATATATATATATATATATATATATATATAACAATTTTTTTTTAAACATTTATTAGTACTATGTATTTATAAATTTTATAACAACCAATTGTAATTCAGTCATTTGACTGCAATAATTGATTTAATAAACGATTCATCTATCTATCTATCTATCTATCTATGGCTTCAGAATCCCCAAGACCGCCTGCAAAAGGCAAAGAGCCATGGAAAAATAAACCCAAGGGTCCTTTTTTTGGGGGGGCGAGGGGTCAGGCAGGACCAGCCCCCGTAGAGACAAAAGCAATGGAGAAAGAACAAATCTTATTAAACAAACTTACTACAGTACAGGTACAGGATTATGTTTCCTTTATACCTGACCTTTTAGAATATCTTAAAAATAAAGTTTCTAACTTTCAAGCTGGTAGATTGTCATCTTATGTGGAACAATGGAAAATGTTAACATCGGATGAATTTATTTTAGATATGGTGACAGGGGCACACATAGAACTCTTGTCAACCTCTTTTCAGGTTAAATGCAGGGCTCAAGATTTGAATTTTTAACTGGTATCCAAGTGGATACTAGGGTCTTGAAATCTAGTATCCCTATTTGAAATTTAGTATCCCAGATTTGGGTAGTAGGTATTTCGATAAGTGGTATCACATGATTTTTATCTCGTGCTTGCAGGGAAAAACCATAGGCATATATAGAAACACAAGTCAAATTTCATTACGTTGCGATGGCGACAGGAAATTGCGCGTAATCATTGGTTATGCTCTGAGCAATCACTGCCGAAAATCGAGAGGCAGAAATTAACCTTGTGCTCAGGTTCATTCCATTTTCGTGTGACAAACAACAAAAAAAAACATTATTTTGACGAACATTTCGCCGCGATGTACAAACTTTGCCAATATTTCGAGGGTTTTAGTATCCTGTCTGGATACTAAACCTATGATATCTAGTATCCAAAATTGAAATCTGGTATCCTGTGGATATCGGGATACCGCTAATCTTGAGCCCTGAAATGCCCACAGAAAAATTGTTATTAGCAAAGAAAGGCTGGTCATTGATTCTGAAATAAAAAGCCTACTTGCTCAAGGTGTTATTGTTCCCAGTGTTACTGAACCTGGGGAATATATTTCACCCATCTTTATTAAGTATCCTAAAAAAGATGGGTCGTATATTGCATGATTTTAAACCTTAAACAATTTAATGAACATGTGGCCTATCATCATTTTAAAATGGACACTTTAGCATCTGCTATTAGTATGATGAAGTTTACCACATTGCTTTATGGCTTCAGTGGATTTCAAAGATGCGTACTACTCCGTACCTATAGCATCTATTGATCAAAAATACTTAAAGTTTATTTGAGGCAGGTATAATAGTCGGACCAGATTGCCAGTCCGTGTCGGATCGGAGCGCCAGTTTGCGTCGGATCAGGTCAGATTGTGCAGGTATAAAAGTCGAACCTGATTGTGGTCTGGGTCGGATCATGCAGGTATAAAAGTCAGACAGGATCCATAGATGACCAAATCGCTAGTCCAGAATTAAAGGAAATAAAATATTGATAAGGCAGTCCGATGCAATAATTTTCAAAAAAGTGGTCTAAAAATGTTTTACCTTCGTCGCCATCCATTTTGCAGATTTACCACGCTGTGTAAATAACGCGGGAAAGAATGCAAACTTCCATTTGTGTAAGTAACATTTCCCTGAATATCCTGATATTTCTAAATTTTCTAAAGATCCGACATAATCCGACTTGGTCCAACCTAATCCGACTTGGTCCGACCTGATCCGACCCGGACCACAATCCGGTCCGACTTTTATACCTGCCTGTATATTTGGGATGAGCAACTATGCAAATTTGTATGCTTTCCTAATGGACTTGCATGTTGCCCCCATATGCATGTTTACTAAACTGTTGAAACCTGTTTATGCAAACTTAAGACAACAGGGACATGAATCATTGGGGTAAATTGATGACTCCTACCTACAGGGTGATGACTTTGCTGATTGTGTTGCAAATGTCAAAGTCACTGTGCATACGTTTGATTCCCTAGGTTTAATCACTCACCCTGAGAAATCTACCCTGAGAAATCTGTTCTGATCCCAACTCAGCGATTAACATATCTTGGGTTTATTCTGGATTCGAAAGAGATGAAAATATATTTATGTGACTGGGACATAATAGATCCGTGAAAACTGTTTATAATTTTCTCTTTTATTTTGAACACCTCAAAATACGTGGGCGACGATTACAAGACCTTACAAGCAATAAAAGTTAATGCAATATAACTAAGTAAACAAAATATTAAAATACACACTTCCTGTATCCTGTTAGCCTACAATAAACATGCCGATTTATCAAAATATAAAGTAATATCTCTCCCAAAAGTTGATAAAACCATAAATATTTCCGTCTATAATGTCAAACTTAAGACAAATCATGCACCGTTCTAAAGAACTATTTGCACAAATTACTCAAAATGACCGTACTTCAACAGTATTACGATTAATATATTCATGCGTATATTTTATACTTTTAACATGATTATAAGACAGCAATACTTCTATAATTACTGGATAATAACGTTAACTTACCGGGCAACTGCCCGAGAATGTTAATTCCCTTTTATTGTTGCTTCTTTTCTTCGATTTATGCTTTCTCTGACGGCAATTGATAAAACTAGAATAGTGAAGCGAATAGTGCGAATAGTGCGAATAGTCGACGAATAGTACGAATAGTCCGCGAATAGTCGACGAATAGTGCGAATAGTCCGCGAATAGTCGACGAATAGTGCGAATAGTCCGCGAATAGTCGACGAATAGTACGAATAGTCCGCGAATAGTCGACGAATAGTACGAATAGTCCACGAATAGGCGACGAATAGTACGAATAGTGTAATAGAGACTTTGCAAGGCTTTGCAGCAGTGCTGTAGAACTAAATTTACCGGGGGGGGCTCTGTTGACAAACATGAAATCGTGAAAACATTCGTCGACGTACGTCAATGACGTCATACGTCTAGTGATTGTCATCAGTGGCGCCGGTGGCCGGGGGGGGGGGCATGGCCCTCCCCTATTGTTGACACCCGTCGTAAAATTGCCAATGCTGCCGGAAATTGTCGGAAAATTGTCAAGGCTGTCGGAAATTGTCAAAGTTGTCGACGGGGGGGGGGAGTGAAGATTTAAAATGTTGTCGTCTGGAAAACTTTTTGGTTTGTCGGAAAAATTTTTCGGTTTGTCGGAAAAGTACTGCCCTTGCCCCCCCCCCCAAAAAAAAAGAAACATGGGTTCCACGGCGCCACTGATTGTCATTCTACTTTCTGTTAAATATTTGTTAAAACTCAGTGTCCCGTAATTTTTACCGATTACGTATGACGTCATTGACATCAACGAATGTTTTCACGATTTCATGTTTGTCAATAGAGCCCCACCCCCCGCTTCGGTAAATTTAGTTCTACAGCACGGTGGAAAGCCTTGCAAAGTCTCTATTGCACTATTCGTCGACTATTCGTACTATTCGTCGACTATTCGCGGACTATTCGCACTATTCGTCGACTATTCGCGGACTATTCGTACTATTCGTCGACTATTCGCGGACTATTCGCACTATTCGTCGACTATTCGCGGACTATTCGCACTATTCGTCGACTATTCGCACTATTCGCACTATTCGCTTCACTATTCTAGTTTTATCAATTGCCTTTCTCTGACGATAAATAAAATAAGATCTTTTGAAATCGCTTTTTGTTGCCCATATATGGGCATGCAACTTTCATAGGCGGTGGTAAATCACGTGATAGATTAGTAAAATACGACAAATACCGTGTTTTTCCCAGTGAACTCTATATATATATATATCTGGAATGATAACAGCGAGCGAAAAGTGAAGCCGACAAAAAAATCACGACATAAGTATTCGTCATTGTCTTCGTCATCAACTGTTCAAGAACTTTCTTACAGTATTAAAAATCACTTACATATAAAATTTGTAATTATTTTGAAAGTTTTTATCACAGTTTTTATATCTTTATTCACTTTTAACCTGAAGGTGGAGTTATACTCCGAAACGTAGTTATTAAAATAATTTTTTACTAAGCCCATATGGTCTAATTTATATTCAAACACACGTACATATTCATTTACATTTTGCTGGCAGGCAAATTCCGATCACACAATAAATTCTTTAAAAAATAATGTACCAGTGTATTGACTAAAAACTATAAAACTGGTAAACTAAAAAACAATTCAAACAATCGCGAAAAATGGCAACGGCAAAGTCACAGTTGCAAGTCAGTTTACCTACCTGTGAAATGAAATTTTCTGGCAAGAATATCTCTTTTTTTGTGCATCCAGAACGACAGTACGACACATTAATATATTTGAAAAAGTGATTCTTTTCTCCACACGGGGAAGTTTTCCTCGACTTTTTTTCCGACAGCGAACTCAATGCGGTAAATTTTAGGAGCAAAACAGTTTGCTCCTAAAATGTATTGCATTGAGTTGGCCATGTTTTTAATTTTTTTTTCGTGATTGCGTTCAAATTTATACTGGTCGTGCAACGGTTTGCAAGAGGGGGAATGAAACTGACGTCCAATCCGCGTAAACCTGACGTTTGAGGGACTGAGACTGACGTCCAATCCGCGTGAAAGACTGGTATCGAGGCTTCATTGTTTTCACAATCAAATCACTGAATGTTATCGTTCCAGATATATATATATATATAGAGTTCACTGGTTTTTCCCACTGGTTTTTCCAGGGCGTAGTAAAACACGGGCGGTGAAACCACTGAGCTATACTTAATATATCTGGAGATCGTGCTCCAATACCTCGTCAGTCAAAAATGTGTGGCCAAAAACATGGCGGATTTTGGCCAAATTTACGTCATTTTGACGTCACAATCATATGGTCACAATCGACCTAAATTTATGGTGAACACCACTGACCTAAAATGCTAACGTGAAGAAAAAAGTTATTCACACCCCCCTTTCAATTTGCTTAAAACAGAAGGAAGTAAATTCAAAATTTCGGTCGGAAATTTCTATATTGAAACGAGACATTTGCAACCATGCCAACTTTTTGTTCAATTCCTGGTTGCCAAAGATCTACTGAAAGAAAGGACCTGTCCTCACATGCGTAAGGCTCGTATAATCTCTTTTTTTTTAATAATTTAACGCAATGCTGTATTGCTGTATTGAATGCGTAAATTTGTGAATTCATGAAATTTATTGGCAAGCAACATACAATACAATGTAAGTGTACTACAGTGCAAAAGCAGAACAAAATTTTAAAATGTTGACAAGCTTGTGGAGCTGTTGTTGAGCAAGTATTTATTTTCATGCAAGTTGATGGATGTGATGCAGTGATGAAATCTTATCGATATCCTAACAGATAATGCTTAATCTTAAAAAAATTCAAATGAGAATTTTAACAATGTGATAAAGATACGACTAGCTTTAAATGTACAAAGCCTTTCACTCATTGTATTGTCTTTATTGTGGACTAAACCATGTGTTGTCTAGTGTGGCATTGTTTATAATAATTGTAAGTTATAGGTATCGTATTGAACAGTGTATTAACTAGACACTAAAAACAATTGTTCATTTACTTCAAAGCTTTCCAGATGAGAAGAGATTCCCTGAATTGCACATCATATGGGTGAAGAATATAAGCAAACTTATGCCAGACAGAGTGAAGTTTGTTCCTATGAAAAATAGTCGTTTGTGTTCAAAGCATTTTAGTGCCGATATCTTTGAGGAGGATTACAGCCAGAGACCAGTGTTAAAGCCATATGCTGTACCAACAATCTTTAATGATTGCTTTGGTCAGCTGGTTGTGATCTTTACAGTTTATTATCAGTACAATTAATGGCCATACTGTACATGAGGGGTAATTAACCCATTAAGCGCCAGTGCTCTCCCCTTGACGAGTAAAATTGTCTGGCGTTAGACAGAGTAAAATACTAAAATAGGGTGCTTCGCCACTCAATGGGTTAAATTTATTCCTTAATTTTTCTGCTAACAACTTTAAGTTATTTGTACACATTTTGGTCTGTTTAGCTAAGCCAAGATTGCTACATTTACATTTATTTTGACCATTTGGGTTAGTGTACAAATTAGGCTAGCATAATTACTGTAGGTGCTGACCA